ATTCATTTGTGTCATTCAGACTTATTTCCGAGTCAAAACTGAACTGAAGGTCATCGGACATATGTCCGACCCAAACTCAACGTCACCGGACATTTTGTCAGACGGCCCAGGAAAAGATATTTTAAGGCCTGCACTTGCAATACAGTGTGTATATATTTACTTTAAAACCTCAGGTTCACCAACTTAATTAACTGAGGGTTCAACCTGGACTCCAGGATTCCTATAACCACCTGAAACACCTGCATTTAAAGGGCTTGTTCCTGTCACATGCGTTTCTTCTGCGATAGTTCGAAGTATTTCCAGTGCTTTTCTGCTCATTACAAGTGTTTTTAAAATATGAGTAGTAGTAAAACAAAGCAGAAAGGGGGTAGCAGTCATACTGCTTGGCAGTTAATTGCTCAAATACCAAAGGATCGCATCCTGAACTAAGTTTTTTTCGCTTCCCGGCTATATATAGCAAAAGGTAGGTCCACGGTTTCCGTAAAGACAGATGAAAAAATTTGAATGTTTTCTGCTGCTTTGTATATCGATAAAATAAATAAATGCATTATACACACTGTATGAATGAATTTATTTTGTTCAAAAAAGTATTGAAATTACAAGATGCAATAATTACTACATACTGTAAAGTGTACTTCGGAATTTTATATTTATACAATGTCAATAAAAATCACTTAATTAGTCTCCACTTATGAAAATAATTGGGCAGAACATAATTAGGAAGAAAGTAATTAGGAAGAACAAATAGATGCCCTACTCCTACCTCCTGTGCAGGCCTTCCAAGAAAAGTGGTGGGAAACAAAAAAGCCTTCGTCTCAAATTTCAACCTGTGAACGGGCATACTCATTACGAGCTGTATGGCCTGCGGAGGAGGTAGATAGACTTCTTTTAACATGGTATGTTTAAGTTTGTTGCAAGTAATGACAGCCTTTTGTTTGTGTTCATTTGGTAAACAAGCGTTACCATTGTTTTCTGCCCAATACGTAAATTATCGTATTCATTCAGTGCTCATAGTGTCTATTGTTGGCCATCATTTTTGTCCAATAACTTGTTAGGTTGCTGTACATATACAGGTTTGTAATATCATGACATACAATGTTCCTCACATCCATATGGTAGATTGGAAACAAATACAGTAATTTAATAATACATGGCAGATTCCATCCCGACCCATTGCATTAGATGTAATATATCCATACAATCTTGTAAATCAGAATTCTTGTTTTAATAAAAATACATTTTGATCAATTTTCTGTTTACACAAAGTGCCCTGGTGTTGGAGCCAACATTTTGACGATGATCAAAGCCATTCCCATCACCTTCCAATGGCAATGTGAGTGCGAATATACTCCAGCATAAAATTTGCCAACAGAGACTTAGCCACATCTAAACCAAAGGATAGAAAATCACACATCTTTAAATAACACCAAGGCCACACATCTTTAAATAATATACTGGACATGTGTTAACGCTGCTCTGGTTTACAAGTGACTAAAGTTACTGTTCGCGAGCCAAACATTTAGACACTCTTATTAATAGTTTAGGATATTGAGGCGCAATAAGGATGTCCATTTATGATTTGTTATTCAATCACTGCTAAAGATAGACAGAAAACATCGAAACTTAAAACTATATTAAAACTACTGTCTGTGCTATTGTACGGATAGGCGATAGCTACTGGGTTCGGTTCTCCATGAACAATATCGAAGAAAAATGCGCCTACGAGCATTTACTTTGACTTTTAAATAAATAAATTGAAACTACATACCTTCTCCTTGAATGCTCTGGTCATTAAAACCAAAATTTTGAACATAAACTCCCACGGTATGCTTTTAAAACGAAAATATAACCCTCGCTCAATACAATTTATATTTATTCTGGCAGCAAGTTACTGGCCAGAGTAATGGCGGCCGTCGAATTTCCGGTATGCGCGACACGACATGCGCGAGGACACCGACTTCAAAGGATCCGACACTCAGTTGCCCTTCTATTCATTTCTTATTCTATGACCCTGCAAAGGCCAGAAATGGATTCGCAAGGTCAAATTGCACCTACACGCGTGAGTTTGACGTCATACCGGCCAACAGGAGCTTCTTATTGGCCAATTATTGCGCAATGTTCGCAAGTGCGAGTAAAACCCGATATCTTGAAAAATTCAAAATAAATATTTCTAGTCGGCGTATACATACGAAACTTTCTACACAAAAGCGCTTGAATACAAAGAGTATTTTACACATATAGCCGTTCAGCAAATGACGAAATGTTCAAGAGATATTCAAGATCTTGTGTATATGAAATTTAGAATCTTTGGCCAAGCGGTGAGTAACCTGAGTATCAGGCCGTACTTTTTAGGGCACAGGCAGCGGTGAGTAAATATATGATTGTTTCGGTTTGTGTAATGTTCAGACGGCACTTGACCCCCCGTTTGAAAGGTTATTTTGTGAGGATTACAATGGTGGTATTTATTTATAAGGGGGGTAAATAGTCGCCGAGATATTTATATTAGAAAAATTGTGTCGTAATATGATGCGAGAGGGGGTGGTCGAAAAAGAGTACTACTGTTAAGTAAGATAGAAATATTAAAATTAACATGTTTCTATATACGCTTTTTTGCAGCAAATTAACGTAAAAGTAAAACACACTTACAAAAAATAAGTTCACATGCTCATTGGCACCACGCGTTCGCACATTCACATCAGGAGCAGATTCGGACAGGTTTGACAGGTTTACATAAACCTGTCAGATTTTCCAAAGAAAGAAAATCTATAACCTTCCATGTATATAACTAATTTAAAGAATATTCTGTTTCATAAAATTGATGTTGTCTAATCTATTATTCAAATTTGATTATGGACTACCGTATGGGGCGCCAAATGTGTTTTTATTATTTAAACGTTTTATGTCACATTTTTATATGATTTATGTAATTATATCAAATAACCAAATATCGCAATTTGGTTATTTAAAATAACCACTTTTTGTCAAAATGATTATTTTGATTATATTAAATAACCCGTTTTGTCGACATGATTTATTTTGGTTATATCAAATAACCACTTTTTTGTCGAAACGATTTATTTCGGTTATATCAAATAACCACTTTTGTCGGATGATTTATTTTGGTTATATCAAATAACCACTTTTTGTCGAAACGATTTATTTCGGTTATATCAAATAACCACTTTTTGTCGAAACGATTTAATTTGGTTATATCAAATAACCACTTTTGTCGGCATGATTTATTTTGGTTATATCAAATAACCACTTTTTGACGACATGATTTATTTTATTATATCAAATAACCAAGATAATTTACGAACAATCGGCGCACGATATGAAGACAAAACACACTTAGCCACCACTCCGAGCGGCGTCTATTGTCAATTAAAAATCTCTACAACATGCAAATGGTGCTTCTTTCCTTCCTTCACCACACAATTGGAGGTGTGTTGCTTTCATATAATCAAGTATGACCAAATAAACTTTTACTATGATCTTTCTGGTGTTACTATCAGTGTATATCCACACCAGGCAGGTCCTGAAACAATGCCTGGACATGGTTGGAATCGAACCTACAGTACGATTAACACCGGAAACATCATATTCACCTGAGCACATAACACCATCACACACAAAAAAATAAGGATATTATCTAACATTGGTATCAAATGAATAAATAGAAACCTTTATTTCAAGAGGGTAACACATATTAATGAGTTCACACTGACAAACCTGTGGCCCTCAATCAAGATTTGATGCTTAACTTACCAGATTTGATTGGCGACTGTTACTTGTGGTGGCAACTTGACGACTGATACCTGAGTTTCCGACTGTTACTAGAGTTGTCTGTCGGCTTGGCTGCAATGACAAGGAAAATTAGATAAAAAATTCTTTCATGCTAGGCCAGGTCTATGATCCCTTATATTGTACATAGTTAACCTAGCTCAAATTTACAAGTACTTGTAGCACATAATAGTGTGTACAAATTTCATCATCTCTTGCCACCCTGGCCATGTTATTCATACCATCACATTTTTTGAGTGGATCAATTAAAAAAACTCTTTATCAGCAATTGTTCGTTCCAGAAAAGATCCGTACTCCCCCCGTGGAGGAAATTTCTGCTGTCCGTAGGAGTGGAGGGGGGGGGGGAGGAAAAATTGTTTCTGTTAATAGTAAGTAATATGTTAATAGTAATAGTTCCTCTGTGGGGGTGGTATGGATGTTTTCTGGAATGAATCAATACTGCTAACCAACAACATGGTGGTTTGATAAAGTATGTGCATATTTTAATTGCTGAATGGGTTAAAAGTATATTATCCTCTATCACAAATTCCAAGACAGCATACATATAATATGTGTTTTAAGTTCACCTGTGTATCATTTGCCAGTTGCCCTCTAGCTGGTCTCTGTGACTGCTGCAGCTGTTCAGAAACAAGACATATTTTCAGTGACGACCATGAAATTTAACAATGTGGACTCACATTACAGTGTGACAAGTTATAACAGTGTAAGCATAAATAATCTCATGACATGTTCATTCTCTGAGAAGCTGGGCTAAATGTTTCCTTTCATTTCTGAAATGAACAAAGCAAACAAAGGAAGCATTGACACCCACATTGGACCACTGCACTTTTTACTCCCCCCCCCCTGCCTATTGAGGACATGTGGAATTTCCAATAGCCCGCCAAAAGGAGGAATTTCCATGGGTTTGTCCAAATTTTAAGACAACTATGCACAAATTTCACATGGTAGGTATGAAAAATGACTAAAACTTGCGGAATTTCAATGGATGATTGGATGGTCAACAACATGGGCGTACCGGAAGGAAAAATTTAGGGGGGCGGCAAGAAATTTGCCGACTTTTCCGGATTTTGCCCGACAAGTACCGAAAAATTTTTTTCCAGAATTTGTTTTGGCGACCCCCCCCCCCGTCGCCAAAAAAATTTCGGTTTTTGACCATTTTGGGGGTCAAAAATTTTTTCACGATATGAAGACAAAACTACGGTGGCCCATAAGTACAAACATGCATACAAATTCAAATACACAAATACAAAACCAAATACACGCATACAAAAGTCAGTACACGCATACAAAAGTCAATACACGCATACAAAACTCAATACACGCACACAAAACTCAATGCACGCATACAAAACTCAATACACGCATACAAAACTCAATACACGCATACAAAAGTCAGTACACGCATACAAAAGTCAATACACGCAAACAAAAGTCAATACACGCATACAAAAGTCAATACACGCATACAAAACTCAAACGTTAGAATAGATGAAAAACTAGCAATTTACATCACGTTCCATTAGTAACGAATAAAATGGTACATGCCAATGAAAGTATAGCTGTATATTTCGTTCTATCACTGCTTTTATGAATGGAGGATATTATCAGAGACTATTTTAAGAAAAACTACACGTATAAAACCATTTTACAGTTGTTAGAAAAATACCATGCAATTGAAATATCGAGAAGCACTTTATTGAACAAGCTTAAGGAGTATGGCCTGCGACGACGAGGAAATACGATTGATAGAGACCACGTGAGAAGATGTATTCTTGAAGAGCTAGATGGAAGTGGTAGCATGTTGGGCTACAGAGCCATGTGGAGAAGATTGCAATCAAAACATGGCTTGCAAATTCCTCGTTCGGTAGTTCAAATCATACTTCGAGAAGTGGACCCAGAAGGATCGAGATTAAGGCGGGCTAATCGTCTTCATAGAAGAAGCTACCTAAATCCCGGACCAAATTATTGTTGGCATGCTGACGGATACGATAAACTTAAGCCATATGGTTTCCCAATCCATGGCTGTATAGACGGGTTTAGTAGGAAGATAATGTGGCTTAACATTGTACGGTCAAATAACGATCCTCAAGTGGTAGGTAGGCTTTTTTATAACTGCGTAACTAATTTGCAATTATGTCCAACAATTCTAAGAACAGACTTGGGAACAGAAAATGGAATTATGGCGTCGGCTCAGTGCTTTTTGCGCAGAAACCACACGGACACCCATTGCAATGTCAACGCACATCGATATGGGTCATCGCACAGCAATCAGCGAATCGAGGCATGGTGGGCTATGCTCCGTCGATCATGGTCCTCATGGTGGATAAATTTTTTTAAAGACTTGATAGCCAGAGGAGTGTTGGACACAAGCAATACACTTCATCTTGAGTGTCTTTGGTTCTGCTTTAGTCCAGTCCTAAAAAAGGGACTCGAAGAAATTAAGGACTCGTGGAACTGTCACTATGTACGCAAATCCCGGTATTATACTCAAGCGGGAATCCCTAATCAGCTTTATCTTCTACCAGAAACAGTTGGAGCAGAAGATTTCAAGAAAGAGTATGATGGCCGCGATCTCATCGAGATTGAGGATTCCGTTAATGTATCAGCTGAAAATTATTCGACATACCAAGAGTACTTTTCGTATAGTGCTGGTGTGTTAGGAATAGGACAGATGCAAACCTGGAGGGATGCTTTAGCGGCATATGAAAGACTACTGGAAGCAGCTTAAACACTGATACAAACAAGCTCAACATGTAATGTATTTACAACTAGGATAACACATATGTATCTTTTTAAACTATACATATCTCTAAAGTAGTTAAATTGTTTTCTACTACGTTATATGATACTATAAACAATGTCAAATACCAATCCTAATGGTCTGTATAAATATTCGAAAAAAAGGTTTAAACAATGTCAAATGACCATGCACTCTTCTCTCTGAGGATAGATGAGAACTCCTCGACCAGCTCATTGTAGTATTGGTATGTACAAGGAAGCTCGAGCAAGGGTCCGCACGTGTGTGCTACAGGTCGTCGTTGTAGTCCGTTGAGCTCAGTAAATGTCACTTTCAATTTCTGACCTTCAACGATAATATCGGCACCCGTAGTAAACTGAAGAAACGCGCTTACATTGCCTCCTAAAGACTTGATATAGCGTACCAAGTGATCAAAAGCATTTCGCTGCGCCTCATTTTCCGGAGAAGCATCTAGGATTTTCAAAACCTTTTTCGCAGTGGGTTTCAATTCTTCGTAAAAGTGAAGAATGCTTGCCATATCTTGAAATGGAAGGCGACTCTTCAATGATTGCAATATCGTTGCCCAACAATTGGAAACATACCGGGGTCGTTGGATAAGCTCTTGGTGGGCTAATTGACATAATATGTCTTCGATGTTTTCCTCCTTAGGTATGCGATAGCACTTGTAGCTCCCCAAGACCTCCAACAGATCTTCGTTTTTATCAATTTGTGATCTATTTTTCAAGCAGTTATCAACTACTTCTCTCTCATCTTCCGCTATGTAAGCCATGAAAGATTTCACTAGCACTTCGCTGGAGACACGATCTTCACCTAGAACAGTGCACGCAACAAATGCTGCAGACAGCGCAATGGGATACACTCCTTCTTTGCAGTAGCCGTACAATAAAATTCTGGCCACAGCTTTCCATTCTTGCCTTTGGTAATCATGACGGATGGTAGGGACCTTGGCGGATGCTCCAACGGATAATGATTGATAGAAGAGGTGCCAAAATTCAGTGAGAACTTCACGTGCCACACCCCTTCCTTCACCTTCCTCTATAACACCACGTGCATCAACAACTTTAAAAAATATTGTAACTTTCAATATGGTTGGATCTGAAAATGCTGTTATCATATCTTTTAATAAGGTCGTGCGATGGATAACCAGATCTAACCCATGGAATTGTTCTTCAAGCAAAGACACTTGGGCTGATTGTACAATAACATCTGCATCTGGTTCCATTTGGTCCAATGGGAGGTCTGTTTCATCTGAAACACAATAATTATTTATAAAGAGATTAAAATTATTGTCTCTTTATAATACAAATAAAAGAACAGAAAGTCTGTAAATAATATGCAAATAATCCCTTGATTATACCTGCACTTAGAACAACTTCAACTTGCATTTGAACTGGTTCAATTTGGGCAGACTCAATTGGAAACGGATCAGCCTGAAAGGGATCAGCTTCCTCAGGATCAGCTTGAACAGAATAAGCTTCCTCAGGATCAGCTTGAACAGAATACGCTTCTTCAGGATCAGCTTGGACAGAAAAATCTTCCTCAGGATCAGCTTGAACAGGATTAGCTTTCCCAGGATTGCCTTGCATAGAATACTCTTCAACAGTATCAACTTGTACAGGATCGACAGTTTCTGCATCGGGGTCATCAACCAAATCATTGGCAACTAAATTTGAAAGAAGGAAATAACAATTCTCTGTAGAAAATATTGTTGTTTAGGTAATTATCTAGATCCACAGTCGGTCTTTACCTTCAAAATGAAGCATGTTGCAAATGTATAGATTGACTCTACTGTATGGTCGTCCAAGTTCATCTTTATATTTTTCCACAGTGAATTTCTCAGTGCTTCCAGGTATTTTGTCTACTATGTCCATATCTGGGTACAGTAAAAGCCATTCTGTCTGTTCAAGATTTCGAAGCTGCTGGTTATGGGCAAGCTGCTTATTGACTCCAGCATTTTTTACTAAAATTGATGTATCAGATTTTCGAACATCGATGGGAAGCAATGATGATCTTTTTATTTTCAGTCTTTTTCCATCTAATTCGATTATTCCAATGTTTATCTAGAATACAATACTCGTGTATTAACTACAATTGCACAACAACATCGAGAGCAATATTGCAGCAGCCTATCCTGCACGCGAAAATGCTTTCAAAAACGCTTTCGCGTGGGCATCTCAAAATGTCGGACAATGAAAACATTTTAACGTGTGATGTTAACAGTGTATTAATTAAATCAAACGACAGACAAGTTAACGAACAAAGCCAAGTTTTGTACTGACTAATTCTTAAAATTTCGTTGTTATGCATGATTTTTCGCAACATCTCGCGTGCATGGATCACGCTGTCCTGCACGGAAAACCATTTGGTATTCCTTTAATAGTTGAACAATTTTCACGCAGCTGATGCCCACATTTCATTAGAATGATTATCATATAAATTGTTAAAGTTCCTTTATCCTATGACCTATAGAGTTTCATAAGTGAAGATTATTAAGGTGGTATTCTACCTTCATTTTTGGAAAAATTCATTTTCTCAAAATAGATAAATTTTAAATCTATGCTGTCTGCTCTACTATTGTAGCACGTTATTTTCCTTCTATGAGTTGTGGAAGGGGGTTAAATATCAAGAAAAAGGAACCCGTTCCTTTAATTGCCACTTAGCAACTGCCTCAGCAACGCTCAGTGCCATTTTTAAGGAATTTTCACTGGGGGAGCAAAACAGGAAAAAAGGCAGAACGAAAAATATGAGCCGTCGATGTTTGGCAAACGCGATAGTCTGAAGGAGATTTTATAAAACTTTAATTTATTAACTTCAGCTATATTTTACTTTAAACAATAACTCCAACTCTTTGTAGCTATAATCGTACAGCTATAACCAGTGGCGTAGCCAAACCCTAATTTTGCGGGGGGGGGGCAAACCTCACGCCAAAGGCGTGAGACGGTCTAGGAGGTCCGGAAAATTTTGAAATCTAGGGTCCCTGAATTGCGATTTCATGCATTTTGGGGGTGAAATCTAGCAGAATTCCAAAGATTATAAAGTATACATCGAAGACATGAATTTTTCCAGACATTTCTACTCGGAATTAAATAAATTGGAAAAGTCACCTTGAAAAATAGGAGGAGGGGTCAGTGTCACCTTATGTCCTCTCTGTGATGCTGGGAGGGATCCCAATGGGATTTTGATCAGAAATGTTGCATTTAAATCATTTTAGGTTATATGAGACACCATTTCCGCATTCTCAAAATTGCGTTGCTTTTTCATACGATACAGAATAAGTCTGAGAAGAAATATTCATGCTATGATGATGCATACATGTATTTAACAGTTAAAAATCTAAACTAAATTTATTCTTCTTGGAACCATATCTACAACTGCTTTAACGAGATTTCACAAATCAAGTTCCTCCATTATATTGTCTTTTTCCTCAGTCGAGACGTACTTAATCAGTTTCAGCTTCGAGCATGTAACGTGTACCCCCCCCCCCCCACACACACATTTCTCTACGGATTTAACCTTTCTGAGAGAATGTGTTTTTTTTGCGATTGGGGGGGGGGCTCTTAATATAACTTGATATTTTTAAGAAAAAAAAATTGTAATAAAACCTCCCAAAACAAAACGCCTCTGCAGAGGAGAGTGCTAGGAAATAGTCGCAAGGCTTGGAAAGGCTAGCATTTTATCGGATTGTTTGCATGAAATCTATCGCTATTATGAAATATTTGGTGAAGAACAATATGAATTACACACAAGATGGCTGTGGAGGCTATGGAAAGGCATAATCTCTTTATCAAGTAAATCAACTGCAATTGTGACAGCAATCATGAGCAATTCTGCTTCGCACTTCGGGGGCAGAAATGGCTTTACTGGGGGGGGGGGATTTTTTCCCTGGGGGGGGCAATTGCCCCCCCCCCCAGATATATAGTTAAAAAAGGCACTGGCAACGCTTTTGTTGTCCTGAAATTCACGCAAATTGTCAGTTTAAGGTGGCTCCTTACAATTTTTGAAATATGACAAAATCATGATTTAGATTTAATTTTTTGAAGAGAGGTTTCTTGTTGGAAGACAAAAATTGTACCACATATATTGAGCACTCTTTTAAGAGTTGAAAATTGTTCACAAAAATGACGTCATTACCGTTGCTATGGTAACAATGACGTTTCAATATAGCTGACATTTTAACTTTTAACACATTTTACTCGAAAAAAAGGCTGGTTACCCCCATTTTTTATTTTGTGAAACGTTTTCATTTAGAAAAATGAATGATGTGAACACGTTTAAAATTTAAAAATTCTGTAGATTAGAATTTTTAAAAAATTAAAAAAACGTGATTTTTCGTGATAAATATTTTTTGGATCTACAGAATTTTTTTAAACTTGTTCACATCATTCATTTTTTCTAAACGAAAACGTTTCACAAAATAAAAAATGGGGGTAACCGGCCTTTTTTGAGTGAAATGTATTAAGAGGTAAAATGTTGGCCATATTGAAACGTCATTGTTACCATAGCAACGGTAATGACGTCATTTTTGTGAACAATTTTCAACTCTTAAAAGATTGCTCAATATATGTGGTACAATTTTTGTCTTCTAACAAGAAACCTCTCTTCAAAAAATTAAATCTAAATCACGATTTTGTCATATTTCAAAAATTGTAGGGAGCCACCTTAAGTCCATCAAATTTTTTGAAAATTATAATCATCTATAATTAATCTATAATAATTAATATAATTAATAATCCCCTCATCTATAATTAATGAACGGTCCCTAACATGCAAATAAGCTACAGACTGCTAATACATTGTATGTTTTACAGGATCCTTATTGATAACAGTATTTACTACTGATTAGGCTTCTTGTATAAATATTATATATTATTATTATTATTTTTCATCATAAAATTTGGTGCTTTTGTTTAACTTTTCAACAAAAAATACTCTGCCTTGCTACCTCGGGAAATATCGATGGTGGAAGGTCCACAAAACAGTTTAACTCAACTCGGCCCCCTATAAACCATGGGGGGGGGAGGGTTAGGGGGAGGGTTAACCCCCCCCCCCTAGAATCTCTCTAACCCCTGTAATAAAGTGTTCAACCCCACCAAAATTTTGCTTCATCCTTCCTATTTTGTGTGAAAGGCTTTAACCCAAATGCCTAACCCCTGCCGAAGCTCAATGAGTGGTGCCGCTTGCACCCCACCAGAAATTTTTCTAACCCCCCTTTTACATAAATGAAAATCCGCCCTTGCTATATAAACCAACTCAGCCTGCTAATATATTTCCCTTGGGTCCCAGTAAATAAGTATTAATTGTTTATTTGTTGGTACTAAAACAACCTAACTTAACTTTTGTTAACTTGTTGGTATCTTATTACTGTTGTTTACTCGATTGTACTAGCTATAGTTAATGGCTAGAGGCCCAATAAGCCTCGTTTTTCGAGCTGTATTGTATTGTATTGTATTGTACTTGGTATATTTTAATATATTGGTAAAAATGTATACCTTCACGATTTCATCTTTCTTTTCCTGTTTAATCTGACTTAAGCGTTCATTTTTCTTCCTTTTTTTAATATTTTTGAATGCGGACGTATCAACACTGCCTGCACTGGAACTGCTTCCACCGGCTTCACTCTTCTTCTCTAAGTACTCTTTAAAACTTAGCGGTTGCTGACTAGTTGAGGACGAAGGCGAAGATTTATTCTCTGACACACTTGCTCCACAACTCTTGCAAAAATTTGCATTTTTGTCTTTCTCTTGCCCACAATGCGAACAAAACATCTTCGTCAGTTTAATTAAATGGAAATATATTTCTAATTTTTTATCTGATAAAAATTGATCGCCCGCATTCGTTTTGTTCGTTACCAGTTGATACGTCATGTAACGATGAATGTTCTAAAGTTTGAGTTTTGTATGCGTGCATTGAGTTTTGTGTGCGTGTATTGAGTTTTGTATGCGTGTATTGAGTTTTGTATGCGTGTACTGACTTTTGTATGCGTGTATTGAGTTTTGTATGCGTGTACTGACTTTTGTATTTGTGTATTTGGTTTTGTATTTGTGTATTTGGTTTTGTATTTGTGTATTTGGTTTTGTATTTGTGTATTTGAATTTGTATGCATGTTTGTACTTATGGGCCACCGTAGAAAGTCAATGAGAGCCATTTATTTGTCACGAGACTTGATAATTTTGAATTCACACATGAGCATGCGATCGAGATTCAACATTCGACAAATCCGACATTCACCAAAGGTGGAAACTAGCCGAAATAAAAACCAAAGCACGTAATACTATATGATCTTTATCACCTATTCTGATCGAGATTGGGACTGGGCGCCTGCAGTGTACCGTAAGTTGAAATTCAGAACTGTGTCAAGTACAGAAACACATTTTGCCCAAATAATTCATCTTACAGGTAAAATCGGTTTTAATTTTATATTTTACATTGACGTGTTCAGTATATGCTTTAAAAGATGATCGGAATTTTTTCCGATGATTTATCTTTTAAGATCTTTAATTTACCATAAGCTATGCTTAACTCATGTCTTGCATTTCTGTCGGCCTATTGGTTCTGCATGGTATATTAAATTAAAGAATTAGTGTCACACCAGTAATTCGCGGGCTCAAACTCCCTCCGTCATATATTTAATTAAACCATCCTTTTATAATCCTTGCTCTTTTTGTCTGATTTTTATCAGATATGTACCAAACAAGGGGGATATTAGGGAACTTTAGATTCGGCTACTACGGCGACGAAATCTAGTACGAGTCTGCACGACTGGGAGATCTTTTCTTTTAAAAGTTTGCAACTACAGACCTTATATCGTCTTTTATTTTGCACACCATATCTGTGTAACAACAGTTTAGCCAAACAATACTCAGTTATAAGTTTTTAGTAGCAAATATTTAATACTGAAAAAGTATCGTAGCCGTACTAGATTTCACAGCCGTGGGGCTGAGGACGCCGCTGCAAATACTTACCGCCGCCTAAACAGTTTCAAAATATCATAAATAATATCTGCTGTTGACAATAAAATGTAAACAGCCTACGAAGCTCTGCTACAATATTAATTAAGTGTTTTACAGTAAGGGGCTGTTTATATGGAAGCGAGCCAGCCCGGGTACCCGAGCTGGCTCGCATCCCCGAGATGAATTTCACCACGCGTTTACATGAAACTTACATCAAGGGCAGGCTCTTCGTGTTCTAATTTTTTTGGCGTAAACAACTCCATATATGGAAGTTGGTTCCTTATATGGGAGTTGTTTGTGCATTCTGAATTATCCTAATTAATTGCGCATGCGTATTTGCTAAATTTCCAGCCCTACTAGGAGGGCTAGCCCACCCTGTTGCGTTTATGGAAAACTACCCAGCTCGTTTACCCGAGGTCTCGGGTCACACGAAGCGGGACCTCGGTTAGGCGGGCCAGCTCGGTTCTCATACAAACGCAACATGAAATTTAGTAGGAAATATTAACAAAGACGGGATCCCGCCTAAAGCGAGCTAACTCGGGTACCCGAGCTGGCTCGCCTCATAAAAACAGCCCCTAAGGGGCTGATTACATGGACCGGGCCTGAAAAATGTCACGAAAATCTTCCTTGGGCTGCAAAATGAGTTTAAATCGGGTTTAGGATGATTTTGCATCTATAATAAACCAATTATTTATCGCAAATTTATTTTACGCGAGTTTTAAAACCACAGTAAGGTCCTAAACAAACGAGTCAGCCCGGTTAACCGGGCCAGCTCGGCATCATGTAATCAGAAACTAAGTGTGCTATGATTATGATATGTTAATAATATAGCATTTGATTTAGTTGTGACGTATATCAATCTGTACTTACGATGTCCCTATTTTGGTATATAATAATGATTATTCTTCATGTACAAAAGTGATTGAGTCGTAACCACAATAAATACTAGAAATCAGTCACTTCTCGGAAAGAATGTCAAGCTTTTTCTACGAACGCACTAAGACTTATAAAGCTCGAGCGTCAACAAGTATAAGCAAATTAAATTTCGACGACGGTTTCCTGAAATTTGAAAGGTAAAACTTCTATATAAGCACTAAAACCGAATATATTTTCAAGTTCAGCTGCAGAAACACATACTTTAAAAATTTGGGGGGACGGCCGCTTTTTGCACTAAAAATTCAATATACATCAACTTAAAAATTCAATATACATCAACTTATCCTCATCCACGTTTTTTTTAACTAAAAATTGCCCGACTTAGCCCTATTTCGAAAAAAGTTGAGGGGGGGGGGGAAGGGGGGGGCTACAACCCCCAGCCCCGAACGCCTATGATATGCTTTAAAAGATCATTGGCATTTTTGTGTTCAGCTCTGCATGGTATATAAACAATGTGGATAAGGTTAAGTTGATGTATATTGATTTATATAAGTTGACATGTATATTGATTTATATATTCCATAACATATACCCTAAGGTTTCGACTGTAGTCTCATGATCTTAATTCTAATCTCTATATAATCTATTCCTAACTATACCGTAATGTCATCTTGTTAAATATCAAATGTTGTTAAATATTTAAATATACTATGCCCACCTTCGATTAGCTCTTGCTATTTGTGGGAATAGTCAATTTTCTTCATTCAGTATGTATTTTCTAAATAAATTGAAATTGAATTGAACTGTTCAGTTTATATATGTACATCTATATATATATATATATATATATATATATATATATATATATATATATATATATATATATATATATATATATATATATATATATATATATACGTATTATTCGAAACCGGCGTATAGAGCTTCACTTTTTTTCAGGCATACAGTTGTAGAATTGTACCAAAAAGATTATTGAATTGTTTTGTGGCTCACTAAGCACAGTTTTAAACGTCGGTACAATTTCGAATTCATCTCGTACTATGTAAACGTAGTCAGGGGCGTAGGAAGCTTCTAAAATTTGGTGGGGGGGGGCACGCTTTGAGGAGCACTGTTCGAGTAAAAGAGGGCATCTAAAAGGGGGAGGTCATCTCAAAAACATTTTCCGGACATAGAAAAAATTTTCCGGATATATCACATTTTTTTCCTAAATATGAAAAAAATTTTCCGGATATATGATATTTTTCCCGGAAATGAAAAAAAACTTTCCGGAAATAACATAAATTCAAGTTTTCAAAAGTGCCCTTTGGCCAAAAAATGCAATCTTGATGACATTTTTCACGCACGAAAAGGGCACTTTGCTCCCGAAAAAAGGGCACTTGGCAAAACTTGGGAGGGGGGGGGGCTTGCCCCCCCGTGGCCCACGGTTCCCACGCCTTTGAACGTAGTCTAAATCACAAAGCTGCATGAAAATCCTCATGTAAAAGATATGTAAAAAATTAGCTGTTGTAAAACTATACGTAAATTAATTGCTTTAGTAAGCAAGGCTTGGAACAGAAAAAAGCCCAAATCCTTCATTTTACGTCAAAGTCGTTATTGTAATCTTTTTCTCTGTGTGTTCATCATAATTATGACATGAATGCAAATGCGAAAAAGGAGTAGGTATGGCGCAATGATTTAGAGCAAATAGTTCACAGCCCTTCTTTAAAAACATATACACTACGCATATTAAACCTTGACAAGTTGACGAGTTTTATTTGTTCGTGACAAGTGTTTTTCTTGACGGGTTTAGTTGATTTGCATTTAATACGTACTACGCATTTAATTGTCCTTGACAAGTTTTCCTTGTTGGTCGTACACACGAGCAAATTTCCTTGTTGAAAAGCTAACATGACTAGCTTTTGAACAAGGCTCCTTGTCAAGGAAAACTTGTCACGTTTTTCGCGTACACACGAGCAAATATAACTTTGTCAAGGATGAAAATTGTCTTGGAAAACTTGCTTGTCTGCATGGGGCTTTACACTTATGTTGAAATTGATATGTTTGTTTGCATGCATGAGCTAGCTGAGTCTTCCCATTTCTTATGAGAAAGTTTCTGACTAAGGTTATGCTATTCTTTCAAATGTTTTTGCAGAGTCTTTTGGAAAACGTACTCAAAAATTTGGTGTAGTTTTACAATGAAAAATGTTGTCAACCTGTGTTTCCTTATCATGGCAGTGATCCTGTTGCTGCCTCGTGGCATAGGTGCTGGGTTTTTTATGTACGCATTATCCATTGGTGCTTGCCATGTGCTTTTTACAGCATGTATGGCTGGAAGTGGAGGATTGTCTGAAGATGGAACAGATGATAGTATGATGGAATGCATTCCAGTTTACGAAGACTGCGTGGCTCAGTGCGATTATCACAAGTGAATACAGAGTTTGTCAATCTTGTAATTGTCTCTTAGAATATTTAAAAAAACGGAAAATTGTTACTATTTAAAGGACTGTAGATGGCTTTTCCGGCCAAAGTTGATAGCTACGCATTGGTAATTTCATAGTGTGACAATGTAACCTATAAATGTTGCAAGTACTTGTTTTATAATAAATTTAACTGCATGATATTCATTTAAGGTTGTATAGTACAGGGAGTAACATACTATACAATTGGTATTTGTACTTATATCATCACTGTGACGTACAATGAAGAAGAGTAAATGCATGTCTTCTTCTCAGTCTTCTTCTAAGATGAAGAAGAGTAAAGCCAAAGGCATGTTTGTAAACGACACAGATACGAATCCGTAATTGTGTGAGTATTGTGGCGTTGGATACATATTATGGGAACTTTAAAGATTGGGTACAGTTCGATCTGCGCATGGGCACATAGGAGTCTGCTGCCGTGATATAAACACTTTAATTAGGTTTTTATTTCATTTTATGTTC